GGTGTGCGTGATTGGATTTGGCGGCGGTTGGTGGGACCGGACGTCTGTTTCTTGCCGTCCTGAGGACAAAGGGGGATGGAAGGGAACCCTCTTGGAAATGCACCACTCTAAACAGTCCTGAGATGGGAAGGTGTATAGAGGAGTTAAGTGCAAGGTTCTCTTCGTTCTCTATGATTTTTATTTCCTTAGTATTGTGTTCCTAAATATTTCCAGTAGAGACTAATATTTTGCACGCTCTTAAAGAAGACTTTAACTAGATGACAACATTTATGCTATGTAAACAGGGATGCTATGGTTGATCACTATTTCAAAGGATCAGAGGGTATTCCTTGGTACCTATTTGGTTACTTCTCATTTCATTTGCTCATATATGTATGGCTTTTTTTGGTATAGTGGTAGTACTGGAATGCTGTGCTGTGCCTCTCGTTGCAATTTGCTAGATGATGTTTTCTGGAATTGCTGTTGCTTTCTCTTGATTACTTCCTCCAGATCATACAGTTTTGCTAATTAATAAAATGCCTAGGATTACAGCTGAAATCACACCAGAGCTATTAGTTTCTGCATAGTCTGGTATAATAGCTTTTTGGTAATAGCAGTAATAAGTAGTATATTTAGGAGAACTGCAGAGATCATTGCAAGTTTTTCTGGGATGTCAAGTACCTACATATTAAATAAAAAAAATCATTAAGGTGAATGTGGGGAGAGGGGACAGAACATGGGGAAGAACTGCCTAGGTCTGCTATGGATCTTGCTAATAATTATAGCATTCTATGCTTCTTGCCTATGAAGGCACAAGATCTGCACACTAGTTTGTTTTTTTCCAGTGGCTGTTCTGACCAAACAGTTAGAATTTTTCTGTGTTGGTTAGTTTTATCCTCTTTCTAAGCAGAACTGCAAAAATAGTTTCACAGTCTCTCCTGTTGTATAAGGCTGTTCGCTTTGTCAAATGGCTTGATCCAAAGCCTGCTGGAATTCAGTGCTGTTAATGAAATGATTAACAGCTATTTGATTTAGTTTATTTTAGTGAATGATAAGGTTAAATGGCAGTAGAAATCTCAAAATAAATCATGGTAATGTTTTTCAGCTAAAGATGATCTGCGTGCATCAGGTTTTTGTGTGATCAAACCTTTAAGAAATGGGTGTGTGGGACCTACTGGAAATTGAGCCTCTTTGTAGCCTCTTTATTGTGACTTAGGTTACCAGAATAGCTTGAACTTAAAGTTGTCAATATTAATAGTCAGCACACCTAGGCAGAGGCTTAACATCTTGAAGGCACGCTTTTTCCTCAAATTGTTCCCTGTCAAGAAGAGCTAAGAGGTCTCTGTCCTTACATAAATGTTTTTCCAAGGCAGTTCCATCTTTTACTATCCAGCGCTCTTTACTGTCAGATGAGGATGTAAGATGAGATGTAAGTATGAGGAAAAGTTGCAAGACGGACTCTATGAACTGGTATTTCAGCTGCTGCTTGCTAAGTTTTATCTTCTCTTATGATGAAACCCGGGTTAGTTCCTTGGAGTGTACTGATTTGATTCATATATGGTTAATATCTGATGTCGCTGAACTAGTTGCAGTACGTGCTGTAAATGAATGCTTGGAAAATATTTCGTTGGCAGTTATGTGGCTGTAAGCTACATATACGTAGGCTACAAGTACCATTTCTTTTCTTTTTCTTTTTTTTTTTTTTGAGTGGGTGGTGGCGTGGGGCTTTGCTACGTGTGTGAATATATGTATACACATACACACATACATATAAATATAAATAAATAAATATATATATGTATAAAATTGTTCCGATCCAGAAAATCCTTTAGGGAGATGTTTAACTCTAGGTGAGTCCTTACAGATGTTTGATCAATAGGATTCTTCATGTGCTTAACATTGACCGTATTCTTCAATGCTTTTCTTCATTGGACTCTTGAGTCCTCACTCCATTACAGGATTGTTTTGTGGGTCAGGAATCTATATTTTTATTTTTACTGCTTAAATTTGTTTTAAGGTTCAGAGACTATCAACTAACAGGCTGTTTCTGTTTCTAAAGTTTCTAAACTGTAGTAGAGAAGAAACCTGAACAAAAATATTGCTCTTTCTCTCTTTATTTTTTCCCTGATATAAAATAGGCTAAATCAAAATCTTCCCTTTTACTGATTTTGTATCTTACCTATAAAAGCACAGCAGAGGGAATTCAGAGAGCAAAACAGGCAGGTCCTTCACTCTGGGGTCACTAGTGGGCGCTGCTATAATAACAAGTCACAGGGGAAAACGGTTTCTTTCTTGAGGCTTAAACATAGGTTACATCTGCTGGTGTAGAAAACCTTAAGAAAAGTCAGATGTATCCCATGTACAAAGTCCCAGCAATGCACATAGTGGAAAATGAGCCCTTTGCTGAGCTGCTGTGCGACTTTTTTTATTTTTTTGATCAATCAAGATTAATTAATGCAGTATGATATCAGGGCTCATTTTGTTTTGGCCTGTACAGAGTGTAATTACAGATGTACTTACATTTGAGGTTGAAATAAATCATTTTAAGAACTACGTGATATTTCATGGAATATTACAGATGCTCATTTTCTGGTCGGTTAGACCTCAACATGAAGTATCTGGAACTCTGCCCTAAAGGAACAGCTGAGAATTTCTCCTGACAAAGAATGGCATTAAGTTTTTACTGTCGGGGAGAGCAGAGGTTATAAAGACATGCTGGGTGTTTTATCAGATCTGTGACTCCATCAGCTCTTCAGTCATCTAGGATAGCCCTTAAATTTCTATCCGGAGCAAGAATGAACAAAGAACAGATTGGCAAAATCATCTTTATTTCTCTTATTGCTTCTGCAGTTGCTCCAACTGTGAAGCTAGTGCAGCAAAGGACAGAGGTGTGTGTCATTTATTGTTTTAGCATGGGACTTCAGGATTAATTTAGAGTTAGATACATAGCTGAAATAAGCTAAGAACCTTGATACACCAGTAATTAAGTGCCTGATTCCATTTTGCCTATGTTGCAGTAAATTAGGAGCAACTCCCTTGATGCTAAAGAAACTGAACAGTGTGAAAGTAAATTCTGGCCTTAAGTGTTGTGTGTGTTGATTTGCTTGTCCATCAATGAAAACAAGGAAATGCAGGTAAATTATTAACCAGGAAACAATTCCCATTACTTTATGCATACTTTCAAGAGTTCATTGTCTGTGATGCTGTTGATATCTCTGTTCTCAGCCTGAAGGCTATATAGCACTCTCTTTAGGGTTATCCCTAACAATTAACATAGGGTTATTCTTAAGCTTGTAAAATTTGCTTAATTTTTTTTAGTAACCATGCTAATTGTAATAATAAGTTTCCTGCAGCAAGAAAGAATGGAAATAAAAATATAGAGTGATTTGCATATGATTCTCTTGGGGCAGGATAGCAGTAAAATTACGTATTCAAACACTTCCCTTGGCCATCTTATTTTCAGGAAGGACCGGAGGTGTTCTCCAGGACATGTAATTAGGGTACCTAGCCTATCAGCTCTCTGCTCAACCATATTTTTGCCCAAATTGGGTTGTTTAACATGACTACCCTCATGGAATCTTTTATTGGCATATCCAGTGAACAGATGAGAGGCAACGGGCACAAACCGAGACAGAGGAAACTCCGTTTAAATGCAAGAAAGAAAGAAAGAAACAAACAAAAACCTGAAACTCACTTATTTACTATGAAGGTGGTCAAACACTAGAAGAGGTTACCCAGAGAGACTGTAAAGTCTCCATCTTTGAAGATATTCAAAACCCAAATGGACACAGCCTGAGGCGACCTGGGCTGGTTGACCCTGCTTTGAGCAGAGGGCTGGGCTAGAAGACCTCCAAAGGTCCCTCCCAGCCTCAATAATTCTGTGATTTTTATGATCTATGAAAGTAAGAGAAGGCTCATAGTAAGATCAGATTTTATTATACAAATCCATACTAATTTAGCTCGTTCACTTAGCTATGTCAGTGTAAATTCCGCATAATTCTGATGCATCATAAAAGTCCACAGTGTAGACTTCAGATCCTTTGAACATGAGTCCTAGATCTAATACCATAAAACAAGCAGGTTTTTTTGGTGCAATTAATAACAAAATTATAAGTCCCAAGCGAACTGGCTTTCACTTTAGTGCAATGGAGTATGTGAAGTAATTTCATGAATTCTGGAGTAACTGCAGTCCGAATCTGGTCCTTTCTTGTCCATTGAATATCACAAAGTGTAACGATTTGATTGATTTCAGAAATTACTTTTCAGCCTTAGGAACCTCCTAGCCATGAGATCTGCTGTTATCGTTGAATAAGAAATACGAAGTATGAAGGAGGCTTTCAACTTTACTCCTTTACCTTATTATTTTATACTGATATAGATAGATGTAGCTGTAGACTAAGAATAGCAAGCACCTGTTCCTTTAAGTGAAGAAGCTAGAAATGGCCTTGCTGCTCTTTCTTTCCCAAATATCCTATATGGAAATTATTTAATCCACAGACACAATTCCAAGAACTATCTTGTTAAACCTGACCACAGTCCTGGGTAAGGTGTGTTGTAGGATTAAAATGATGGATAGGAACCGGATTTCTTTGGTTTAACAAACTAACCTCACATTCCCAAACTTTCTCTATTTGTGCATATGCAGCTGCATAAGCAGATATGGTTATAAGAAGGAATCTAATTTTTTTTTCCAGTTATGGTCTGAGGCAGGGCTGGAATCTAGTCAGTTGTGCTTGGCACATGCAGCCTTAGTTTGAGAAGCTCTGAAAAATAAGCATCCACGGCTTCAAATAACAGATTAAGATTTGAACAGAAATAGCAATACGCTAATAAATAATAAAAAGATTTTTAAAAATGATAATACATTAAACTAGTTGGAGGTGTAAGATTTGAATGGATGTGATAATGTGCAAAGACGCCCCTTGTCATTTGCCCCTCAGAATATTTATAGATTATACTGTACTCTCTTCAGAGTCACCGAACAAACAGTTGGAAGACATAAGCAATAGCCATTTTCTGTAATTAAAGACTAGCAAATCTGAATTGAATTGCTGTTATTTTTCAGTGGCAAAAGGTTGCATTATTGATAATCCAAGTCTTCACAGACTATAAAATACTTGCAGTGTTCTACAGTTGTCTGAATTCTATTTCATTATTAGCACTTTCTATGACTAGAAATTAATATTACATGAACCTATTAATATTGTAATTAATATTACAAGAACCATTTCTATCAATGTTTTCACTTTTTAAAGACATTCATTTGGAAATACTCACTGAAGCTATTACATGACTTTTCCTCTATGTAAATAGCTTCTATAATTTATAGATGTCAGGATAAAATAATAAACAAACAAGGCTAACCTCAAGCAGAAAACTTTCACTTAACCATCTCATTTTCAAATTATGGACTTTGTTTTCACTGTGGCACTATCTTGAACAATACAGCTGTAAGTTGTAAGTTTAATCTTAAACTCCTGCTAGATTTTGATGCTGGAAGAAACGGAAGCAGATTTCCTATGAGAAGGGTTTCTATCAACTTGCAATGTCTGAGAATTGTCAGAGTCACGTGAAATGATTAAAAGTGACTGCCAGGTCTGAACTGTATGGAAATTCCTATTTTTATTTATTTTTTATTACATCAAGGGATTTATGTTATTTGGGCATGTGATTCACTAACTGGCTCAGCATCTTCCTAGATTTAAGTGCATGCTTAACTTTCTGGACTATCAATGGATCCACTGGTAGGAGTAGAGCAATGGGTGATACTTTAATGTGCTCAAGGATTAAGACTTGGAGAAACTACTTTTAGGCAATTTATTAGAAATCAGAATCAGCCTGCTGCAAATCCATTGCTAGGTACAGAACATTTTCTAGTTCCATTAACCACGTTCCAAGACATGAATTTTTTGCTGATTCTTCATGTTTCCTTTTTTTTTTTCAATCTTTCATCAATAGTAAAGCCAAGTGCAGATTGCCTTTCAGACTATATACAAACAGTAGATCAAATATTTTAGGCACCAATGCATCTGTACAGTCTCTGTGTTGTTTTCTTTCCAACAACAAAGTCCGCATAGCTGTCTACGGTACCAGAATTTATTGAAACAGTGGTGATTTTTGATTTAAGGATATAAAAAGATGAAAACCACTCACTGCTCTGATATTTCAGAAGTGGAACAAATCTGTTGCTTCTCTACTGCAGTATTCACTGTTTGAAACAAATGCAAATATTAATTAAAATAACTTAGGACTAACAAAATTGATTTCTTTAAAGTTAATTTCTCTGTTTCATGCTGTGGCTTACAACGAAAAAATTGATTTTTGAGGAAGATCTGAAGATTCTACATTCCCTAAAATAGTTCAGGAATGGCTGCGTTTGTCAACAGCAGTTTCCTAGGGCGTACAGTGCTGTAGCTGGCAAGGCAGCTTGGCCTACATTATATTAGTGTGGTGTATGCATTCATGATATAGAAGGTGCGTGAAAGTAACAGAGCTTGTTTTCAAAGACATACTTTAGAAATGGCAACATCTTTCTTTTCCATAATTAGATACTTGTCTGCCATTTCGCTTCTGAAAACATTTCCCCAAAGCATTTTAAACAATAGTGTCTGAGCAAATGACACTGTTGTATAGCAGCAGAAGTACAAGTGCAAGATTGTGAAACACTGAATTATAACAAAAATGATTGAAGTAAATGTACATAGGACACAATGTATTACAATCATGGATAGCACTAGGAATAGATGCAATTTTAAAATAGATTTTGAGGCTGATTTTACAACTCCTTTTAAAGCTCTTTCTCTTATTTATTCATTTTCTTGAAGGTTATGAGGATTATGATCACGTGTGCAGCTCTGCATAACTGTCCACTTGGAGACGATGGTGATTCCTTAGAGAATACATGCAAACTCCTGGTTAACCATCAACGTTCTGCTCCTTTCATCCAAAAGATTTGATAACTGCTTTTTATCAGCTCTCCATTTTTTGCTCCATCATGTTGTCTCTACCAGCTTAAACCATTTCCTAAAATGGTCCTTTTGCTGTTCCTTGCAATCCTGTTATTGAAGGAAGATGTCACTGGGAACTTCAGGCTTCTGGTTTCTGCACAGTCCAATGAAAGAAGGGTGGTTGCACACATGCCTGGTGATATTATTATTGGAGCCCTATTCTCTGTCCACCATCAACCAACTGTTGACAAGGTTCATGAGAGGAAATGTGGAGAGGTAAGAGAGCAATATGGCATTCAGAGAGTGGAGGCAATGCTGCATACCCTTGACAGAATTAATTTGGATCCCACACTGTTGCCAAACATAACTCTAGGATGTGAAATAAGGGACTCCTGTTGGCATTCTGCTGTGGCTCTGGAGCAGAGCATTGAGTTTATAAGAGACTCTCTTATTTCCTCAGAAGAAGAGGAAGGGTTGGTGCGATGTGTGGATGGATCTTCATCAACTTTCCGCTCCAAGAAACCCATTGTTGGTGTCATTGGACCTGGCTCGAGCTCAGTTGCCATCCAGGTCCAGAACTTGCTGCAGCTTTTCAATATACCTCAGATAGCTTATTCTGCCACAAGCATGGACTTAAGCGACAAAACCTTGTTCAAGTATTTTATGAGAGTTGTGCCATCTGATGCACAGCAAGCACGGGCTATGGTGGACATTGTCAAGCGCTATAACTGGACCTATGTTTCTGCTGTGCATACTGAAGGTAAGAGATCATTTTTTTCATGTAAGAATGCCTTTGAATTGCCTTGGCTATGTTAGTCGTGATAGGAAAAGAGAAAGATCTGGTCTTTCTCGTGCAGAGCAGAGGAGACCCAAACCATAATTTGAAACTAGCTGAGACGGAATGTGTTCCTGCCTACTGAGCTACAAAGGCCTGAACACTGGGAGACCTGAGGTTCTGGCTAATATTTGAATACAAGTTATCCCAGCTCTCTGAGAGCAATATTATTTCTGTCCTTCTTATAGTACTCCATGGAGCACTGTAACCACTCCTCCCATCTGGCCATCAGTTTAGGGAGTAGGCAAGGGGGAATCTCCTTGAATCTTCTTCATGCACTTATATTTCATTAGATGTCCGGAAAAATCAGAAGTATGTGCTATATTGCTTTCTTCTTTTCATTAAGCTGAGGTAGAGCTTACAGTTTTACCCAGTAGTTAGAATAGTATATGATTAAAGGGAAATGCTATGGATAAGTTTGCGTGATTTCATTACCCCTTCTATTGACAGAGCTGAGCTGGTTCATCTTGTTGTAAGTGACTAGAAGTTCATATTGACTTAAGAGAAAGATTCACTAGTTCCTTGTCTAATGGCACCACTATTTAATAAGTCTTCTGGAGTTAAGTTCTGTGATCAGTTTTAGGATCTCATTGGGTCACCTCTATTCAAACGGATAAACTATGACTGGGAGACTCAGAATATGAGCTGGGGTATAAGAAATGTTATTAAGAGATTGAGTAGTGGTGATGGTGCTGCTGAACAGCAGATGCTACTGGCTTTATTACAACCAATAGAAGGCAGATTGCTCTTCCCACACACTGAGTATGCCTCTCTGGCAGAAAGTATACTATTCAAAGCTCTTTTAGGGGGGATGCAAGTATGTAGAGATCTCTTTCCTCCTACAGATATGGAAAGAACTTGTTCTGCAGTATTAAAAAAAAAACCAAAAAACTCCCTGAAAACAAAAATAACCACAAATTTTGTTAGAACTTATATGCAGCTTTTTGTAAGTACTGTTTCCATCATGATAAGGAAGGTTGGTAAATAACTGCAGTCTCTTTTATATGCAGATGCATGAATATATTAGCAGTTTAATATAACAGTGTATAAATCACCCTACTTCATTTTAGGTAGTGAAGCTATTTTGTGCCAGCTGATGCCTTTGGCATGGCTTGGTGTGCCTTCCCTGCACAAATATATATGAATAGTGTCACAGTCAAAAATAATGCCACTGATGCATCATATTAACATAAGATTGTATATCTTGACTATTTTTTGATGTCTTCTCTAATTTGTGCTCTGAACAACTTTTGCATTTCTGCTTTCTGTGAGGGGATGCTTTTTTATTCAATGTGTGAACTGTCAAGCTTAGATCAAGGTCTGACTCTGCACGAATACTTACTTTTGCCACTTCCTGTGGACACTGCTTGGAACAGATGGTAACATATGGCATGTTAATCTTATGGCAGAGGAACTTTGCACTGTGAATTAGAGAGAAGGGAATAGGAACACAAGGATTAAAGCTGGGGATAGCAGCTATGGCAAGACAAGCGTGGTAAATGACAGAGAAGTTGGGTGTGAGAGAAGATGAACTGATGAGTGATATATCTAGTATGACAGGTGCCTACTTCTGCCCATATTGGCATTGACAGGATGAGTTGTGCTTAAAGTTGATACCCAGGGCGTCATATCATTGATACCATATTTACAGCAGCATAACTTTGGACTTCAGTGAAAGAACATTAAACCTGGGTTTTAGAAATCTCATGATCCTATCATCTGTTTGCATCATCTAGTCTTGATGATGAGTGTCTTCTCCAGGTAAATAATATAACACAAATGTTGTCTAAGAATAGAATAGATGGTCTGTATAATGGGATAAATACAAACTGGTCAAGGTATTTATCTGAAATATGATAACGTCTGATGTTCTGGGCAGTTTCCAACTATTATGGCAGAGGCTGTCCCTTCCAGGAATACGAAAGGTTAAAAAGACAGAAAGAAAGAACACCTCCCCACACACCCATAGGTGAATGCCGAAGTGCAGGAATACAGCAAACAAGCAAAAGAGATATTATTATCTAGATACTTTCCCTTAGGGGGAGGGGAAAGTATTCTAGTTATCCCTCGCTTTAGTTACTTCCAGATATGATTTTTTTTTAATACTAATTATCATCTCAGTAAAGTATCTGTACTTGTAAACACTCTGTCCATTCATTTGGTGTTCTACATGCATATTGCTTCAAAATAAGAAAAAAATCATTGAACCCTGATCCCTGCAATTTTACTTACTTAAGATCTTACCCTCCCATCGAGGTAGGACCTTTTTCAGGGTCTCTAGTAGTTTTGGCCATTTACATTCAGAATCTTCAATTAATGTTTGTGCATTAGCCAAATTCTTCTGGCATACGATATCTGGTACCTGGAAAGGATTTTCAAGGAGAGAGAAGCTCCTGTCTTTTAAAGCTGGTCTGGGAGATAAGAAGAAGCAGAGAAAGCTAAGCCTGGTTATTTCATTGTTTTGGTAGTTCCATCAGCAGATAAAGCTCTTTTTGGTCTCATGTAAGAGAAGCCTGGGATAAGCCACTACCTTCATTAAAAAAAAGTCTTCCTGTTTGGATCTTTCTTTTGGCACTTACAAATCATCTATGCTTAGAGTGTGGTAATATTTTGGGAGGTGATCTGAAGCTCTGAGGTTAAATGCCCGTTCAAGACTTTCACTTTTACAAAACATACAAAAAAATTGAGAGGTTCTTATGATTTTTGTTCCTTGGACATTTAACTTCATGTTTTAAACTAAGTGATACTTCTAAGTGTGCAAGTAACCATTCAGAGTAACTTTTCCCCTAAGAATGGGAAGTTAGCAAACCTTGCAGTCAGTGGAGCTCTTGTAATTTTGAGGAGGAAGTTCCTGCAATCTGATTAAGAGGAAACATGAGCAAGAAATGAAGGAGGTTTCTCACAAAGAAAAGTAATTTCCACTTAGTGTAGTATATTTCACATGCCAAACGAAAAGCTTTACAAGTTTTAGGTAGTAACTTCCCATCCTTGGCTCTGTCAGGAATGATACGTGGAGGAAGGGCTGCTGCTGCTCTCAGCATTTTCCCTGACTTTCCAACTCTTCCTGGCATTAATGGCTTGTGTAGTTCTACTCTGAACTAACCTGGCTTTAAAATAAACCTTCACCCACCTTCTTCAGGAGGATCAGTTCTGGGATCCAGCTTATACTGTGGACCCATGAATAGATGATTAACTCCCCTGGGGCAGGGAGGTAGGAGTGAGTCGGCAAAGAGGAAAACGTGACGGGAACTCCTTAATACTGGATGCCAAAGCTTTTGTGTTGCAGAACCATTACCTAAAGCCAGAAGCAGGTTCCTTTAACTTTATGGAGCAGTACAACAAGCACACAGGGTGTGGTCATACACGGAGGGGTCTTTTTTTTGTTTATTTGTTTTCCTTTTAAAGTTTGCATATTGCTCTGATTCTCTCAGCCTGTCTCATGGATGTTTCTCTCAGCTTTGCAAAGGGAACAGAGCTTAATACCGCCTTAAACCAACTTTCTGCAGATAGATATCAAGTCATTAATGATGCCAATAATTTAGTCTGATTCTCTGAGGCATGGGAGTTTGGCAATGGTTAGCCCCCAGGACTAATTCCTTAATTTCTCAGAGCACATTAGGGATCCTTTGTAGCCCACCCATCTGCTGTGCACCCCCAGGGAAGCTAGCACATGGGCAGGGGAGTACAGAAGAAACTTGAGGCCTATACCTAGGTTTTGAGTGGCCATGGGTGGCATGCAGATGGGCCGTGCAGCTCAAGCACTCCTGGAGTTTTCCCTCAGCTTTCTCTTGTTGAATCATTTGGCAACACAACTAATTGAAAATGGTCAGGAAAACTGGGGAGAAGGTGGCTGTCTACCACTGAAGACAAAGTACTGTTTTTTTTTTTTTAACCTCATTTCACATCTAAAAGCATTCCCTAGTCTTTTTGAAAGATCAGAAAAACATAGACAGTTTTCTCTTCTCCCAGCATTGCTGTTTGAAGGCCTCATTGAAAGCACACTTGAATTCAATCCTCCTTTGTTGACTAAAGCGACATTTGGACCAGACTTTCCTAGGCAGAAACGAGGTTAGTCTCTGAGAATCTGTCCTTAAAATCTGCCCAGAGCCAAGTGAATTAATAATTTTGAAAGATAATTTTCATCGTCATTGAGAACTATTTATTTAGCCACTCCGAATGGAGCGAAGAGGTGATGTACGCTGGAAAAAGAACTGCGTAAAGGTGCAGTTTTAAAGGAGAAACACATCAAGTCAGATTTATCTGCGGTGGTAAGGGATAAATTTCATTCTCTTATGGTAAAGGTGTGACTTACTTTTGAACACAGTTTTAAGAAAGAAGCCAATTTTTTAACATTTTCTTTAGAGCTCTGCAGGTAAGCATCAGATCAAACTCACCCTTAAGGTCCTTGCTGTTTAGTATCACTTTCCTCCATTTAAATTTATCACAAATGCATATAAAGAGGTGATTCACCTTTGTTTTCCTAGGACATACCCAGCCCCCAGCCAAGCATAACACAGGTAGAACTTTTTTTCCTTTCTTTTTTTTTTCTCTGCAGATACAGGTTATTTCACAAATTTCCTTTCATATTTGCTCAGATGTGCTTGGTTACAAGACTATTTTTGCCTACATTCCTTGCTACCAAATGGACAGCAAAATGAAAATTAGTCATAGTCTATGAGGATAGGATGAAGGAATCAACGAAAGAACAGCAACAAGTTGACCTTAAACCTGCTGCTTGGAACAAATTGTGCTTATATGATGTTGTAGAGATATAATTTTTTTGAACTTCAGATTTTTTTTCCTTTAGTTTCAAGCTATAGCATGTTCAAAAACGTTCTTTGCTTTTTAGAACTGAACATAAGGATTGAGAATTAGATTTATTGGATTTTTTAAGCACAAGTGATTTTTTTCATGCCTTATGCACA